TGTGAGTCTGTTTGGCTTGAAGTAGAATCTTCTGCTCTGCCATTGAACAATCGTCATACAGTCATTGCATCCATCTACCGTTCTCCCTCATCCTCGAATACCGAGTTTTGCGTGCAGCTTGAAAGAATCCTTGCTACTCTAACCCTGGAAAACAAAAACATTATTATTTGCGGTGACGTAAACATAAATATCCTTGATACTAACACTCCAGTTTGCTTGGAATATGTTCGCTGTTTTCTTAGTTTTGGCTTACAATCTCTGATTCACTCCCCGACTAGATGTGATATGAATGGGTCTAACACATTAATCGACCATGTACTGTCAAATATCTTTGCTGATTCGAAGTCCGGGGTTATTGACTATTTATTCACCGACCACTATCCTGTATTTTTCTGTCTTGATGCCTGTATTCCCATAAAAAATAAGCATAATACCAAGACAATATTCAACTCAGCGGAATTTGTTGAGATAGTGCGTAATGCTAACTGGGACTTTGTAGCACAAGAAGAATGTGGCGAGGAAGCGTTTAATGAATTTTCGGCAAAAATAAGCGCATTCATTGCAGAATGCACAACCACAAGTACCGTCATACATTGGTTTCGCACGCCTAGAAACCCATGGATAACACCTGGTCTCTTGCATTCCATATCTAAAAAGGAAAACATGCGAAGAAAATTAAAATCTCAGCCTTCAAACAGCTCTCTAAAAACGCGCTTAAAAAGATATTCAAATCTACTTTCAATGCTGCTCAAGAGGGCCAAACGCGAGTATTATGAAAAACAAATAGATAAGAACGGTAATGATACCAGGAAAAGCTGGCAGCTAATAAAAAATTCTTGAACAGCAGCGAGACCACATGCTTATCAAAAATAACGGTTGACGGACGTTCCCTTACCGAGCCACTCGATATCGCTAATGCTTTCAGTGATACTTTTGCATCAAATTCCCCCGATTCACTAGTTGACCTTCATTTTCCCATTCTATCTCGTTCACCTCAGTCTTTTTATTTACGTCCTACATCTGCAGACGAAGTCTTTCAAATCATGTCATCTCTTAAAACCAAAGGGCCAGGCTTAGATTCCATTCACCCGTCTAAGATAAAGCTCGTGGCACGTGAACTGTCTCCTATTTTAGCTGAAATAATTAACAAATTGTTCAAAGCAGGTGCATTTCCTGATGCTTTAAAGGTAGGAAAGATAACACCTGTTTTCAAAAAGGGCGATCGTTTGTCAACTAATAATTACCGTCCGATTTGTGTACTTCCTTTCTTTAGCAAAGTAATTGAAAAGCTTTTTTACTTGCGTTTGATGTGCTATCTGCTTAAATTTAACCTACTCTCTCCCCACCAATTTGGTTTTCGACCTGACTACTCGACAGAGCTCGCCTTGCTCAGCTTTACTGACCGAATTAAACAAGCCATAGACAATGGATTACTTACTGGGGCAGTTTTTATTGATCTCACGAAGGCTTTCGACACAATTAACCACCGGATCCTTCTGTGTAAACTTGAATCTTTCGGAATTGTGGGTCCCGCTTTGCAGTTCATTCGCAATTACTTAACAAGTCGCTCACAGGTAGTTTATGTCAATAACATTGCGTCATCTGCTAAGCCAGTTACCATGGGCGTCCCTCAAGGTTCAATCTTAGGCCCTCTTCTATTCCTACTTTTTATTAACGACCTACCTAGTTCCCTTAATCATACTAACTGTCTTCTTTACGCCGATGACACTACTATTTTTACATCCCAGAAAATAACTGCTGAACTTGAAAGTAGCTTAAACTCCGATCTCTGTAATATTTATCAATGGTGTGTTAACAATCATCTTTATATGAATCCCTCTAAAACTACATTTGTGGTGTTTTCATCCGCACAGAACACATTTCCCTCACCAGTTTCCGTATCTCTTAACAACCATATTATTTCCGTATCGGATCATGTGAAGTTCTTAGGCGTAATACTAGACAAGCATTTGAAATATAACTATCATGTACTCTCAATATTAAAGAAAGCTTCTTTTGACATTCATGTTCTCATTAAAGCCCGCCCTTATTTTCAGTCACGCATTATTTTATCATTATACTATGCATATATTCATAGCCATCTTTCCTATTGCATTTCATCCTGGGGTAATACATATGCCAGTCACCTGGAGCCCCTTCTACACCTTCAGAAACGGGCACTACGTCTGATCGCCTTCGCTCCATTTCAATCGCCTTCTACGCCACTCTTTATTTATTTTTCCGTGCTTCCAATTAATCTTTTGTTCACTCTAAAGTTAGCTATATTGATGTACCGCCTCATTTATCATGGTCTGTGTTTCAGGGCTATCCACACAACATCTTGTCAATACTAATAACACCAGGTTTTCAGCCTGTCACAATTTCCTTCTCCCTAAAGTGCGTAGCAATTATGGAAAACTAACTCTTAAATTTACAGGTGTATCCGTATGGAACAACATACCACTTGAAAGAAAGTTATGTCCCACATTCTATTCGTTTCGCAAAATGTTTAAAGAGTACCTAATCACAAAACGTGTTTTCTAAACTCTGCCGTCGTGCCTTACTCCTAATTTTAGTATTTCTTTTACTCACTATACCACTTGCTGTTGCACAGAACTTTTCTTGCCTTGTTATTATAAAATTTTAACCATTCTTTGTTTAATTCGTACAAAGTGTTTTTCACTGCTTGCTGCATTGTTATCGCAATTTACTTATTCTCTAACGGAAGTCCCCCCGACAGTTTTCTAACTTCGGGACTTCCTCTGTACTGTAGAATTTTATTCATGTAATGCATGCATTCCTGAAATAAAGTTTGATTGATTGATTGATTGATTGATTGATTGATTGATTGATTGATTGATTGATTGATTGACCTAGGATTCGCACGTACCCTTGCCCGGATTCGGACTCGCTACTACTGGCCAAAGCTCACCCAAGATGTCAAGCATTACGTTAAAACATGCAATCATTGCCAGCGCCGTAAAGCCCCACCTGTGCGCCCTGCTGGTTTATTACAGCCTGTTGCACCCCCGTCACAACCGTTTGAACGAATAGGCATGGACTTGCTTGGGCCCTTCCCGAAGTCACATGATGGCAACCGCTGGATCGTAGTCGCTACTGACTATTTAACGAGGTACTGCGAAACGAAAGCCCTACAACGAGGCACCGCCAATGAGGTTGCGTATTTTTTTATCAACAACATCGTCCTCCGCCATGGAGCGCCAACAGTTCTTATCACTGACCGTGGAACAGTCTTTACAGCCCAATTGATGCAAGACGTCACGAGACTTAGTGGAACAGCTCATCGCAAAACAACAGCATACCATCCACAAACCAACGGTCTGACGGAGAGATTAAACAACACGCTCGCTGACATGCTATCTATGTACGTCGACCGTAATCACAAAAACTGGGATGCAATTTTGCCATACGTAACGTTCGCTTACAACACTGCGGTTCAAGAGACTACGGGTTTCACTCCCTTCCGGTTGCTTCACGGCCGCGAAGCAATTACGATGCTTGATGCCATGCTGTTGCCTGACACGACCGATATTACTACTGATGCGAACGACTTTCTCCGGCTTGCCGACGCGGCCCGCCAGCTTGCACTCAAGCGGATCCGAAAACAACAACGAATCGACTCGCAGAGGTACAACTCCCGTCATCGCCATGTCATTTACCAACCCGGTGATCTGGTCTGGCTGTGGATCCCCGTTCGCAAAAGGGGCCACTCGGAAAAGTTACTTCACCGCTACTTCGGTCCCTTAGAGTACTACGGCGCCTCACAGATGTCAACTACGAAATTCTGCTTGAAGACACAGCTCAGCGATCTCGATGTTTCCAGCAGCCCGACATTGTTCATGTGTGACGGATGAAGCCACACTACCCCCGAGCCACCTGACACTGCTTCTTGACGCGTCTTTGTGCGTGTACGCGACTACTTTAACTTTTAATCGGCATTGGTCATCGGGGTGGTACTTTTTTTTCGAAGGGGGAGTAATGCCACAGGCATGGAACGAGGTTTAGCCATGCCAATGCGAGTATGTGCCATGGTGTGAAAGAAGAAGAGGACGGTTGGTGGGTGCTCGTGCTCTAACGTTCTGTTCGGCTCGACGTCCAGTGCTGCTCCTGTGAACAGACGTTGTGGTCGTTCTGTGATCACGTGACAATATAAACCTGAGATTCATTGCATGCTTGTGAATATTTCCGTGTATGTGAAAAGCGGCCGTCTTCATGCAATGACGACGGCCACTTCTGGTATACACTGCGAAACAGGTAAACCTCGCTTGGCTAGCTGCAGCGTATTTGTTTCAACGCTTTCGTGACAACTTTCTACCAGGTGGCAGAAAATTTCGGAGCCCTCCACTAAGGCGTCTATCATAATCATATCGTGATTTTTGGACTCATACTCTACGTATTATTATTCTCTGCGCTCAGCATTTAAGTAAGCCTTCGCCCCTGGCTGATTCATCTTCAAAAAAGCAGCGCAGAATCGCTGTTTGTTGTTGACAGATTGTTCATTGTCCTCTCCTGCACTGTTTGTTGGAAAAGATTCATATTCGCACAGCGGACGCTTTCTTTACTTTAAGCAGGCAGTAACTTTTACGATATATATATATATATATATATATATATATATATATATATATATATATATATATATATATATACACGCAAAAGCGTTTGTATTACATTGTGGAAAGCCCCTTTATTAAAAATTTAAAAATGCCTTAATATTGAAAACACAGATGATGACATGTTCATAAACCCTCTTTCTCAATCAAGCTTACGAACAATGCAAGCAGTTCAGTTGTCGTTCCACTACGTAATATTGAAATCCGGATGCACCGACCTTTTCTAATGCTTTGTCCACGAGAAGTTCCCGAAGCACCCCTCCTACCGTCCCTGCCTGCGCATGCTTTCCGTCTTAATGAGCACTCAAGATAATTCAGCTCGTCATTTTAACGTAGCTCATGAATTGCTTTGTTCTGGCATTTCAGAAAGAAACGGGAGACTTGCTACCAGCACAACACGCTAGCGCCCTGCTCCGAGCGTGAGCGCAACGCCATCCAAAAGATGGAGGAGGCGATGACTGAGGCGCAGCAGTTGCTCTGCAAAGACGACAGGACCCTCCTGAAAAGTGAGTGGGGCCGCTCTCACAGATTGGACACCTGTAGATGCCGACTTCGACTTCCGAAATGAGCCCTCACGACGCGCTGTGTGTCACACTGCCGTGGCGGCAGACGCACCCGCACGCACTGATGCTACATTATTGTCACGTTATGGCGTCACCCGGCTCGGCTTGTTGGAGCAAACGTGAAAAACGCAAAAAGGGGGACACGGGGTGGCACGAAAACACGCTTCATTTCCCTCAACGATACGGATATAGCAAGGCGAGGAAGCATCCAGATAAGCAAAACTTCACACACCAAATACTACGCCCCATCACGGCAACTTCAAACTTGTATGACCTTTTCCAAGTCAGTACATATCATATGCATGCCCAAATCCAGAGTAACCACTATCGGTTGTGCGGCCGCACTATATCATCCCTCACCGCGTCCGTCCCACTTGTGCTTTGTGCTGGTGCCGACCGTCGTTTCGCGCATGATGCAAAGTGCTCGCCTGGCGTTCACTTCTTGCACTCACTGCAGGCAGGCTCTCGTGGCGCGCCTCAGGAGACCCTGGCACATACGCCGCGGTGGGACAGACGGGCGACTGCGAGCCCGGGCTCGTTGAAGGTCGGCGTCGCACGCGCAAACCAGTCCTGGCAGCTCACCGCACAGCTGGCTAGCAGGATGCTTGAAACATGAAGGCAGCAGCTCGCCGAGGTAGAAACTCGGGCAAACCGCCAAGCTATCAAAGACTGGTGCAAGACCCCGACCACCTTGAACGTGACAGGGAACATCAGCCGTCTTCCCCGTCGTCCTGGCCCGCCACGTCTTCCACTGCGCGCGCCCGTTCAATGTGGAATTCTCCACGTACACTTCTTGCTTCTTTTTCTTCTTCGCTTGACATTCCTGACATGATAGCCTCCATCTTCTCGAGTTTTTGCTGCCCAAAAAATTTCGTCACACCGGCACCACACACGTCACATCTCACCTCATTGCACACTGCCGTCGCTTCACCACACCAGCACCGCACTTCACCACAACCCACTCTGTCACCGTGCACAATCACATGTCGTCGAGTCTTGTGCACAAACACTATACTTTTTTATCCCACACATCCCATTTCATTGAGTAATACTGAGTCATCCTACCCTGACAAAGGGGTAGAAAAAAAACAAAAAAAGTTCATGCACACAATGAAGCATCACACTAGTTACAAAATGTTTTCGTATACATTTATTCTGTCTGTTTTTTTAGTGCATTGTCCTTACTCTTGTTCCTTGGGTTTTTGGCTGAGCACACTGTAGCTCCTCGTGTGAGTGGGTTCAGGCCTTTCTTCCCGTCGTCTTCAGTAACCTTAGCTCAGTGGTAGAGCATCCGACTCGTTATTCGAAGGTCGCACGTTCGGATCCTGCCAGTGGCAAGTTATCTTTTCGTTCACTTTTATTTCTTTACATTTGTATTATAATTACTTCTACTAACATTCCCTATAGCTTTCCAGCGCCGGAGTTTTTATTGACACGTTGCACCGCCCTGGTGGCCTTGTTGCAAAACGGGTAGCAGGACTGTGACGGCTACCGCGGTCGAATGCGCAGCCCAAAAAGTGCAGAAAACGATTGTGCCACACAGGAGATGGGTACCACCCAAACATAATCTTTTAATCATTCCCGTCGAGGCCATACGAGAAAGAGCAGCGGAAATGCTGCACCTGTAAAACACAACAAAATTTTTACTTAGCAAGCACGTTACAGCTTTGGTGTGTAAAATAATGCTTAGAATCGCACATTTAATTCCAATAAATTACCACGTACACAGTTCTAAACATACTATCAGGAAGGAAATACTGAAAAAATCGTGTATACAAGCGAAGCAATTCACCACTTTTCGCGTACGCAGAATCTTATAACACACGGCACGGACGGACGCTTTCATGCCTACCTCCAAAAAGTTCCTCAACGAGCTCTTTTACTGGCGTGTCAGGTTTATATGACGGCCGACCCCAAGCTTGTGATCGGTCTGATGACGATGACGAGTCGGCATCGTTTACTAGAAGTACGAGTACGGCTGCAACTTGTTCGTAATTTCCACTCACGCCACCCTTGCAAGTGCCGCTTAACACTGACACCTCGCACTTTGCTATCAGCTACGAAGACAGTGAAACAAAGAATGATTAGGTGGATAATGTTCAAAACACCGCAAGTGAGATCGCGAAACAAAACGGCTTTTCAACTGTGCGTTAACATGCTACGAAAGCTGCAAATATACCAGTTGTGTAAGAAACATTTGCATGCTAGGAGTACTGAAACACTGTTCGTAACGCCGCGATGAAACGTGCGATACAAAAAAAAGATTTTCTCCTTTAAGTCTACGGACTATGAAAACTTTAACA